GGGGGGGGGGGGGGGGCACACGGTAGGGACCGCACAGCTTCGGGACAGCCACATATTTGGAGATCGTCGCGTATCAGTTTTTTTTTGAGAGTTGTCTTGAATTCTGTGAACGTTTTTCCTTTTTTGGAGTATTATAGTGCTCGTGCCGTGCACTGCCCATGTGTGGTGTGACCGTGCATTGCATGTCAGCAAATGACCACATGGTGTGCGCTTGCAAGTTTCTCATCATGAACGTATTCAAACCCTGTTCCTGGCTAAATGCAGTCATGCTAGCGCGGACCATTGTTATTATGTTATGTTCCAAGGAAGGGACATCTCTCATGAATGCTGATTTTGTGTTGTCTGTGTCTCTGGGACTCCCTGCTGCGTCTGTGCTGGTGATTGCTGCAGCTAGTGAAGCTGAACTCCCAACCTGATCCGAGAGGTTCGTATGTGGAGGTGCTAGAGAACTTTGTCAATCTGGGGCCCATTGTTGACATTTGCGTCGTTGACCTGGAGAGGCAAGGACAGGGCCAGGTCATTACCTGCTCGGGTGCAGCGAAAGATGGATCGCTTCGCATAGTCCGCAATGGAATCGGAATCAACGAGCAGGTTCGGCGTTCACCAACCAAACAACCAATGAATCACTCACTCACTCACTCACTCACTCACTCAATCAATCAATCATTGACAATCAACCAATTAATCAACCAATTAATCAACCAATTAATTGACCAATCAAACAAATAAATCTACCAATCAACCAACCAATAGTCAGTCTATCAGTCAATCAGTCTATCAGCCAATCAATCAATCAATCAATCAAGGAAGCAAGCAATCAATCAAGCAAGCACTCCATCAAGTCGTCAATCGATTGGTGAACGCTTTCTCTCATCTGCTACGACAGCATTTGTTATGGGGTCTTGGTTCTCAGACAAAGGGTGATGTTGGGAACTCTGGACAAGCCAAAGAGGGGTGGGAGAACGAAAAGGAGAGGTGGGAGAATGGAAACAAGGGGTGGGGGTAATGACTTTTGTATCCAGGCAGGAGGATGAAAGTCACATCTGGTACCTGGTGCGCTAGGTTGACAGTTGCTTTTTTTTTTTTTTTTTTTTTTTTTTTTTTTTTTTTTTTTTTTTTTTTTTTTTTTTTTTTTTTTGTGAAGTTTTTTTCTGGTACCTGGTGCGCTAGGTTGACTTTTTGCGCATGTGTGTGCTTGCAGTGTTTTTTTCTTCTGATTCTGTTTTTTTAACTTTTTTTTTTTTTTCCTTTAATGGTAACATCAGTCACATAGAGATGGTGACAACTTGGAGCTCTGCTTCATTTGTCGCTCTGAAATTGTGAACCTTTCTTTGAAATTCTCTCTTTATTTTTTTCTTTTGAAATTCGCGCGTTTTTGTCTCAATGGAGTCGAAGCAGATTTTTCGTTTTCGTTTGCACATTCTGATAGCTGGAGCACGGTCCTTATGAAGGAGGTTGCACTCATCCGTGAAACTTTTTTGTTTTTCATTGGCTGAATGTGGGGTATAACTGTGGAGAGCTGCAGCTCAGGAATGTGCAGCTGCGGGGTAGCTGACTTATGCGATTTGATTGAATATGGCCAACACTATACAAATGTGCCTCGTAAATATATATCGAACCAGCTCTCACAAGTCTCCTCCTCTTTTTCTTTTCCTTTTTTTTCATCTCACGAGTCTCATCCTAAAGTGATACATCAGCCGTAGGGGACCTTAGGATGCCCTTAATGTTGGGCTGGGGTGGGGTGACAAAAAGGATGCCCTTGAACCACCAGTACCTTGCCCGGCTATCAAGTCCGAGCCTCCGGCTGCCGGTAAGCCGAGCCTTGCTGAGCCTAGAGCTACAGGTAGCTGAATTTTCTTCATTTCTCGAAAATGAAGAAACAAAACAAAAGAAGAAGAAAAAAAACGAACTCGATTGTAAAAAGAAAACAAGGTAAACGATTGAATAAAATGAACGGGGGGGGGGGAGAGAGAGAGAGAGAGAGAGAGAGAGAGAGAGAGAGAGAGATCCGGCGATTTCTATGCGGCAATCCACTCAACATGCTGTCTCTCTCTCTCTCTCTCTCTCTCTCTCTCTCTCTCTCTCTCTCTCTCTTTTGCGAGCCCTTGCTTGCATGGCCCCGGCCTCGACATGCTAGATCCGAATGAATCCTGCCACGTTAATCTTGCCACGTTAGTGCGCAAGATTCATGCAAATCTCTCTCTCTCTCTCTCTCTCTCTCTCTCTCTCTCTCTCTCTCTCTCTCTCTCTCTCTCTCTCTCTTTATTTCCTTCGTTCTCCCCCCCCCCTCCTCCCTGCCGCTTCCCCTTGGTTTTCTTTTGCCTTTTTGATTTGCACTTTTGACTGATTTTTTTTTCTTTCCTTTTTTTTTTTTGTTTGTTTGTTTGTTTTCTTTCGTACCGGTCTTTCAGTGCGCCGGCCCCCGTCCGACGCAGCGCGTTAACGGCCGCGTCGGATAAAAATAGCTGGGCGAGGTACTGGTGGTTTAACGTTGAAAAAAAATAAATGGAAAAAACGAAAATTGGGGGAGGGTTCCCTCTTTTTTATTTAAACTACGAGATCCACCACTACCTTTCAGGCTGTAGTCCAAAGCGGGAGTATAATCTATACCGTATTCTTCGGGGGTCAGGCCGTGCAACGGCGGGGCCTTTTGTTGCACTTCCGGCCTCCAAAACTCGTGGTGAGGGGCCCGCGGCCGATGTCTGGGAAAGGTGGTGGTGGTTTAAGAAAAGAAGGGGGGAAAGAGTGTACATTTGGAGTATGGCAGTATGCCACTAGGGGGGCAAATAAAAAAAACCCTTGAAAAAGAAAAACCTGTGGTCGATGTCCACAGGCCTTTTTACGTTTGATGAATCTTAACATTACCTTGAGACGACACCGACACATACACACAGTAAAATTACGAAAGTGTTTTTGATGCGAATGCATCGTTTGGTTGAAACTTGAGTGCTATGCCTCTCTGGTGTTCTGTTGCGCAACCCCCCTGCCCCCAACCCCTTGAAAAAAAAAGGAAAAAAAGAAAGCCTATCTGATGTGGATGCAGTGCTTTGTTGTTTACAAAAAAAAAAAAAAAAAGGAATCTTTGACAGGAAAATAGTGTTTCGGTATGGATTGGAAGTTCTCAAAGTTTGAGAGAGCTTCCAACGTTAAAACACGCTAGTTTTTGAATTTTTGTAATTCTTTTGAGTACTCAGCAATTTGTTTGTGTGATTTTGTGCCATGGAACACTGATAACATCGTGCAAGACATCTTTTGCCGTCCAACACCAATAAACATCTTGCCAGACATTTTATGCCATCGAACGCGGAGATAACATCTTGCCGGACGTCAGCAAACATGTTGTACCTTTGCTTTGATGATGGTTTGCAACTTTGGACTTCGTACTACATGATAATCAGTTCAGATGTGCTGGTGCACATCTGTGTCAATCAGCGCGCCAATAGAGGATCAATTGGAATGAATCCGGTCTTAACAAATGGCCTAGCTCTTCCAAGATGCATATGCGGAAGCATCTTATCGGCCATGGACTGTAACTCTTCAGATATTCTGCATGCTTACATGTTCTTCCTTGTGGTACCTTTGGCACATCCAATTGCAAGTTCCTTTTGCCGATGCTGTATGCTGTAATGATGTGTGTGTGTGTGTGTGTGTGTGTGTGTGTGTGTGTGTGAGAGAGAGAGAGAGAGAGAGAGAGAGAGAGAGAGAGCTGAGTTGTCTTCTCTGGTTTGTGTGTCTGTTGGAGTACTAATGTTATATGTGAACTGTTGGTGTGTATTTATGTGAGTACTAATGTTATATGTGAACTGTTGGTGTGTATTTATGTATCTGTTTAGGCGACAGTCGACGTGCCAGGAATCAAGGGAATGTGGTCTCTCCGTGCGTCTTCCATGGATGTGTATGATACTTTTCTGGTCGTGACGTTCATTAGCGAGACAAGGATTCTCGCCATGAACGCGGAGGAAGAGCTTGATGAAACGGAGATTGAAGGATTCGATGCAGCAACTCAGACGCTGTACTGCGGCAATGTTATCTACGACCAAATTGTGCAGGTGAATGGAGGTGGAAGAGCATGTTTGCCTTTTGTTTTTCGCTTTTCTTTCTTGAAGTTTTTGGACTCTTGGAGGTTTTCCTCGTTGTTTTTGGTAGGGGAAGTTGTCGGCTACCTGCACCACTTATGCAGTCTTTTTTAGCTCCCTATTTTCAGCGGGTTTGGGCTGTACTCGGCAAGCGCAGTACAGCCCCGAACTCCGATTTTTGGCGCTCTAGTGACTCGTCGGCAGACCATCTATGGGTCGGCTCGACCGGTAGGCACGAAAACTGTCCCCACCGACGTCCGCGGTAGTCGGTCTGACAACCCTGCCAGGCAATGCGACAGGCACTCGACATAATCAGTTTTGTAAATGATTTTTGGAAGGAAAAAAAAAGGGTTTAGAAAAGCATCTAAAAACTTTTGAGACGTGTTGGTGGGGTTATTGGGGGTTACGGACCCCCTTTTTTTTGTGGGTTGCCGAGTGATAGCTGGGGGCGCCGACCTTCAGCGTGACTACTCTTAGAGAAAGTAATAAAGTACTAAAAATAAAATACAATTCAAGCATTGTACTGCTACCACTGCTGTTTGACTATTTAATTGGGGGTTATGGACCCCAGCTTTTTTTTTTTTTCCGATTGATAGCCGACCGGTAGGTGCTCGACAGGTGGAACAGTTGGCTGGTCGGTTGGCAACCATTCCAGGGGCGCCGACCATCAGCATGAATACTGTTAGAGAAAGTAATAAAATACTAAAAATAGTAGAAATATAATTCAAGCATTGTACTGCTACCACTGCTGTCTGACTACTTCAATTTTAGGCAGACTCATTCACTGTTTTAACTTTTAACCAGAATATACACAGTCAAACAGCCGTGGTAACAGTCATTCCACTGAGAGAATGTAATAAAATATTGTGGCTGTTTTTGTTCTTTATTTTTTAAATAAAACCAGTGAATGATGCAACGTTGCAAACTCCTTTTTTTTTTTTTTTAATAAGAAAAGATATTTTATTCCGTCTCTGCCAGGGACTTCAGATTGTTCCTAACAACTGCTGTTTTCTGTCCGGCAGATAACATCATCGAGTGTTCGACTCGTCGATGTCGCGACAAGGCAAGCAGTCACACAGTGGAATGCTCCTCCAAACTTTTCAATCAATGTTGCGACTGCCAATGCGACACAGGTGAGCTGTAAGCAAATAACTGGTTCGTCATCAGGTACTGTGCGTGGTAGGTAGCTTTTTCTGAATTTGTCTAAAAGCTCCTTGGCTCTCCTTTTTTTTTTTTCCCTTTTTTTTCCTTTTTTTTTCTTTTTTTTTCTCCTTTATTTCTTT